TTTTTTTTTTTTTTTTTTTTTTTTTTTTTTTTCTTGAGAATTGGAAGACATTTGTCTGAAATTGCAATTAGGTAATATATTTTCTATAAGGATGGTAATGCCAAGGAATTGTTTCTTTCGGACAAGATCAGTTTAATGGGTGGTGGTCATCCATTTGAAGTTTATAACCTCATGATTATATTTTCATGTCAGGGCCCACGTTTTCCTTCTTCATGCCTATTTCCCAGCTTCTGCTACTGTGAACCTGGCATATAATAGCCACTCAATAAAAATCTGGGAAGGTTGTAAATCCGGGCAGGTACTTTATATCAGGGCCATGCAGGTTGGACTCTGGGAATGAATTTTAAGGGAATGCGTTTTTCTAACAATGACTATAGAGACCTCTGCTGGCAACAATTGGAACTACAATCCAGGGTCAGAAAAAGTAAGAATGGGAACCAGAGAGGCGAATTTGTTTTCTTTCTCTGTCTATATTCTGACATAAAAAGCCCATAAGGGGGCTGTACCAGCTTATGACATGTAGTTTGATTAGATGGCAGCAAATACAGAAACTAGGATAAATAAGCGACTTTTCTATAAGGTGACTGGGAAGAGTGTCAAAATTCAAAAGAAAAACACAGCACAAGGAGAATTGGACTATAATTAACCTTTCTGTGATTTTCTGCTAGCTGGTAAGCTATTCAAGGTCTACACTCAAGAGAAGTTTAGAACAGGGGCCCCATCAGAAATATTACAATAGTCATTCATCTTGTAATTGTGAGGATTTGTTACTCTGATGGTTGTACATTCTGTACATTTCTAAGCATCACTACTTGTCTATTTTCCCCTTTACGCTGTCTTCATCTTACCTGCGATAGGTTTATTAGCTTAAAGATGCAGTCACAAGTAATCATTTGGATTTTTCGTTTCTTTGGAAGGGAAGAGACGTTTTGCTAACACTTCCTGACTACCCCATTCTTCCTGCTGTAGGTATTTTAGAAGACTCTGGTTACTAACGCAGTCCTAGAGTGACCTCTTGCTGCACGATTTGTACATGAGCCTGCAAACTCAGTCCTGAATGTCAGTGAATTGCCAAGACAGAAACTTCTGTGTGTGTGTGTGTGTGTGTGTGTGTGTGTGTGTGTGTGTGTAGGTAGAAGTGTAAGCATTTACATGAGTCACATGAATGAGCCAGCACTATATAACTTAAATTTCTAATATTCTCATATTCTATAAGACTACTGGCTTTCCTATTATCACCCATGAGAAAGAAAATTCTTTCTCCAAAATAAATTCTGTGGGCTTCTAAAATGGCCTGTCCATTGATCTTCATATTTTGTTTGAAGAAGAATATTTCACATTCATAATCAGATACATTCTGGACATTATATACAGGACCACTGAACAAGCAAAATAATTTACATTTGAGGAGCGGCAGAGTTCCCTGTGGGGTCCATGATTTGAAATTCCAGGATATCTGAATTAACTTCCAAAGATGGGTTTAGGATGTAAAGAATGGTCTTACTGTTTAAGTCCTTTTGGATAAATTTCTCGTGGATAAATTCACCTATAAAAAAGAAATGAGTACATTTCACAGGGATTCAAACAAAACGTTAAATAAAAGTTGATAAATTGTATGTCCATTTTAAGCACAGCCTTAAAAACAGCCAAAGTATACATTTTTAAAGAAATGAACATTACGGCAAGTATCTTAAAACTCATATGCAATAAAATTATATTAGGCTTTAAATTTTACTTTGGCTCAGAAATATTGTCTTAAAGAAAATACAAAAAATAGGGGCGAGTAGGAAGATACAGCAATAAAATCTCAAATTCTGTGCCATTATTTTTAGTGACACATTTTGATCATTGTCTTCATGAAGCAAAATAATATACAATCCTGGAGAAACCATCCTACCCCCTCCCAATTTTATTTCTTTGTTTCGTGAACTGATATCATTTAGAACTCCCGATTAAAAAATATTACCCACAAATATGAATTTGGTCCTGACACTCTGTGTTCCTCTGACTATATTACAATCTGGCTGATATAAAGAATTATAAACAATAAACAGCTGCGTATCAGTACTTGGTTCTCCCACTCAAGATGAATTTAGGGAAGCTCAGCCTCAAACCCTCTTTAGCACCGATATTGATTTACAAACTGCATCTATCAGCAAGCCCTGGGGAGTGTTTACCAAATGGGCCGACACGTAATTAAATTACTCTCTCGCATTGCCAGCTACTGGGTATTTTAAGATGAGCGATTACAAGGATCAAGGAAGGCAGTACCTGTTGTTGTGTCCTCCAGATGTCCATGTTGGGGGCCTCGTAGAATTTTAAAGATGATCAGATCGTCATCAGTGTCAGGGTCTGTTGCCTTCAACACATGGGAAGTGAGGTAAATCCCATAACAGCCATTTTTCAGGAGCCCCACTTGAGAAGGGGAGTGCAAGTGTGTGATATGGGGGGCTGTTTTGTCCAACTGGTCAACCTGGATAATCAATAATTACATACGCTTTTAGACAAAGCTTTCTCATCTCCAAGCAACATAGGATCTTAATAGTCAACAATGATAATCTACCCCCAATTTCAGATGATTTATCCTCCTCATTTGTTCATTTCTGCTAAAGGCTGGCTTGTTCACAATATCCTCAGTAAATATCATAGTGCCTGGAGCAGAGGCTAACTTTCCATCATAAACTTTGACTCAGCTTTTTGAATTGTCCATTGTCTGACTCTCCTATTAGGACATAAGCTCCCTGATGGCAGACGTTATGTCTCCACCTGTACCTGCACCCCCTGCATTCCCTGCACCTGGCACAGTGCCTGAACCGTGACAGCAGCTCAAGGAATATTTGTTGACTGAATACATGAAAATTGACCCAAGAATTGTATTGCAAACGTAAAGTTAGCTCCACAGGAGGAATTTTGAATTTTCCCAGCGCTTGGTGATATACAGAAATAAAGTTATAAAGATGCACATAAGGATATGCATCACGAATGCACTGAACATTTTTGGGGGGCACATCTTTGTTCAAATGGCAAAAATGTGGTGTGAAAACTAGAAATACTTAGAAAAAAATGAAAGGTGATTGTTATTATTAATGTTTATTTATTTTTGAGAGAGACACACAGAGTGCGAGCAGGGGAGGGTCAGAGAGAGGGAGACACAGAATCTGAAGCAGGCTCCAGGCTCTGAGCTGTCAGCACAGAGCCCGACGCAGGGCTTGAACTCATAAACTGTGACACCGTGACCTGAGCCAAAGCCAGACGCTTCACTGACTGAGCCACGCAGGCACTCTGAAAGGTGCTTATTTATAGGCATTTGCATATTTGTTCCACTGAGGATGAGAACCAGGCAACTGAACAGGTAGACTCCATTTGGGAAGATAGTGAAGGGGCAATGACCTACGAGTGAAAGAGGCGGATAGGTTCAAACACTGCAGGGGGCCTCCTTCAGGTATGGAATGAAGCTGGACCCTCTTGCAAACGACCGTTTTAGGTTAGGGAAGGAGCAAGTTCGAAGCAATTAGCACAGTTCACCACTGATACCAAATAACAGGTACAGGAACACGATCTCCTAGCCAGTGAATTATCGACTTCACTTACCCAAAAAGGATACTATTGTAAATCTTGGTTCACCCTAGCAAAGTAAAGAATAAATGCTGTGACAAGACTCTCTCTCTATTTTGTGTTCAGTATGATATAATTAAGCTATTATTCAGCTATTTTAAAAAACAGAGGTAGAAGGAACTGATAACAAGCAATTTCCACAACTTAGTGTCAACTGGTAAACAAACAAAAAGCCAGTAAGTTGCAGAATAAGAGATGACTGTAATACCATTTTTGTTCACGTATATGTTCATACAGACATAGACAAAATTCGGTAAGCATTTACTTGTACAAACCTGTTTTAAACATTTTTTTTAACGTTTATTTATTTTTGAGACAGAGAGAGACAGAGCATGAATGGGGGAGGGACAGAGAGAGACAGAGACACAGAATCGGAAGCAGGCTCCAGGCTCTGAGCCATCAGTCCAGAGCCCGATGCGGGGCTCGAACTCACGGACCGCGAGATCGTGACCTGAGCTGAAGTCGGACGCTTAACCGACTGAGCCACCCAGGCACCCCAAAACATTTTTTTTTAATTGGGTGGGGGAAATACCATGCTTCATGGTGTATTTCTACATGGAGTTTTGTAACAATCAAGTATCTTTTTTCCTCTCAGGTTGGCAAGGTTTTTTTTTTTATTATTAACAAAAATAATCAGGGGCACCGGGGTAGCTCAGTTGGTTAAGCCTCCGACTTCAGCTCAGGTCGTGATGTCACAGTTTGTGGGTTTGAGCCCCAGGTCGGGCTCTGTGCTGGCACCTTCAGAGAGCTGGAGTCTGCTTCGGATTCTGTGTCTTTGTCTCTCTCTTCTCCTCCCCCGCTCACACTCTGTCTCTGTCTCTCTCTGTCTCTCTCTCAAAAATAAATAAACATTAAACATTTTTCAAAAAATAATCGTACATCATGTTGGTAACTTAGGGAAACAGTCATTCTTGTATTTTGTGGGTAGCGGTGCAAATTAGTGAAAATTTTCTGTAGAGAAATTTGGTATATGTATATATTAAAAATGTTTATATACTTTGATCCAAAACTTTCACTTTCTTGAGTATGTCCTGTAGAAATGATTAGATTTATACAAAAATGTGTGTACATATTCACTAAAATATAATTTTTAGTAGCAATTTTGAAAATCCACAAAATAGAAGTCCAACAGAAGATTTATAAACCATCTCTACCTGTCACTGAGTGCTATTCAACCTTTAAAAATTATGTTTTTGAGAAAGATCTAATAACATTAGGAAATTTTTGTAACATAAGGAAGAGTGGAAACAGGCAATATGCTTGACAGGAAATACAGTATCCTTCAGAGAAAAAGTGCACAAGTGGGGGAGGGGCAGAGGGAGAGAGAAAGAGTCCTAAGCAGACTCCCCACTCAGCATGGAGCCTGATGCAGGGCTCCATCCCACGACCCTGGGATCACGACCTGAGCGGAAATCAAGAGTCAGACACTCAACTGACTGAGCCACCCAGGTGCCTCATAAAATTAGTTATCTTTGAGTGGTATGATTGTGAAGGATTTTTTTTTGTCCCTTTCTGCAGCTCATGAATTCTTTATAATAAACAATTACTTTATAAACAAAAAAAGCAACAATTTCCAAAAGTTACAGTCATTCCCTTCTCCTAAAAAGTGCGGACAACAACCTCAGAGTTATGCACTTGGGTGGGAGGTGGGCGGGTCAAATCATGATCATGGCCTTTTGGGGGGAGAAACTCCTATAACGAGGATGGCCAGTGGGAGGGATGGTCAATGGCAGACGAGGAAAAATAAAAATACTTGAAGCCATGTAAGAAATCCTCAACATTATAACCAGCTGAGTGTAGATATGGTTTTTTTTAAAATATATTTTCTGTAAAAGGAATAAATGCCTGTTGTGATCATTTGTTTTAAAAAAATATATTCGGGGGCGCCTGGGTGGCGCAGTCGGTTAAGCGTCCGACTTCAGCCAGGTCACGATCTCGCGGTCCGTGAGTTCGAGCCCCGCGTCGGGCTCTGGGCTGATGGCTCAGAGCCTGGAGCCTGTTTCCGATTCTGTGTCTCCCTCTCTCTCTGCCCCTCCCCCGTTCATGCTCTGTCTCTCTCTGTCCCAAAAATAAATAAACGTTGAAAAAAAAAAATTAAAAAAAAAAAAAAAAAAAAAAAAAAAAAAAAAAAAAATATATTCATATTTGGGGAGCCTGGGTGGCTCAGTTGGTCAAGCATCCGATTCTAGATTTTGGCTCAGGTCATGGTCTCACAGTTTTGAGTCTGAGCCCCACAATGGGCTCCACGTTGGCAGTGTGGAATCTGCTTGCTATTCTCTCTCCCTCTCTCTGTCCCCCCCACCTAGCTCTCTCTCTCTGTCTCTTTCAAAGTAAATAAATAAACTTAAAAAAATACACATTAATATTTAAGCTCTGGGGGGCACCTCAGAGATTCATTCAGTTGAGTGTCCAACTCTTGATTTTGGCTCAGGTCATGATCTCACAGTAGGGAGATTGAGCCCTGCGTCAGGCTTCAAGCTGAGTGGAGAACCTTCTTGGGATTCTCTCTCTCCTTCTGCCCCTCTCCCCAACTCACACTTTCTCTCTCAAATAAAAAAAAAAGTAATCTCTGGTTACATGGTCCCCTATTGTGTATTGGGTCCTACTTGCCCTAATCTCATTAAACTTCTGGTTTCTTCAAAAACAGGTCTTCTGGCTTAGCATACCAGAAGTATTTTAAAATATTGGAGCCCAAGATATTTTTTTTTAAAGAAAAGAAGGCTACATCCTTTGATAACTTGTCTTGGATTCACTAAAAATCATCTCAGACACTCATAGACCACAGAAAACAGCAACGCTGGTCCTTTCCCACTCACCGCCGGGTGTGTCCCCATTTAGGGAAGAGTACAAGAAATACTAAAGCAAGATAGCAGTATCTTGGTTACTGACATGATTTCCTACAATGTGAAGTTCAGGTTGTGCACGCTGATATCAGTGAAACGCACCTGTGTTGCACTTGTGAAGCCCAGTGGCTTTGCCCTCACTTACCCAGGTTGGGAGCCTAAGGGTAGTATACCCACACTTGGGGGACTGATCTGGACCAACTCATGCCTCAGTGGTAGTTGACGTTAATTTGTCTTACCAAAAAAGCTCTTAAAGGCAAGAGCCTGAGGGGCATCAGTCACTTACTTCCTAAACTGTTTGACCCCTCTGCTCAGAAAGACCAGAACATTCGGGAGAATTATGGGAGAAAGTTTGAGGCTTTCCTTGTCTACACATAATAGTATTTTTTGGCAAAGAAAACCTTGTCCTTTGGATGAAAAAGAACCTTCACAGCGTATATCCAACATTTTCCTATCAGTAAATTCTGCAACTTTCAAGAGATCACCCTCTTATAATAACCATGTTCTGTAAGATGAGTGTTGTTGTTGGGACTGGACTGATTTAAATTCTGATAGCTTTTCTAAATTCTACTACCTATTCCTTCTCTACTCTGGGGGCAGGAAGGAACTCTGAGGCCTGTACTTAGAATGTATAACTCCTGCAAATTTGCAGCCAAATAGACCCGGAAAAGTATTACTGATTGGACAGCACAATGACATTCCTCTACCCAGTGCGGGGAGTCGGGAGTCAGGGGTCAGGAAAAAATATATTAATAGACTGGAGAGTGGGATGAGACAAATAACAATTAAAACATATCATTTAAAAAAAAAAAACCATAATGTTACTACATAGAAAGTACTTCTTTCACGCTGTGTCAATGATATCAGTACCTTCTCTCTCCTCCCAGTGCATCATAATTTCAGGACATTTTCTGGACCTCCCTAGAGACAAAGACTTATCCAGCAACCACTCCACATCATCATGGCTCACCACCTTTCTACTCAAATCCCACCTTAGATAGAGACTGCGATGGTTAATTTTATACGTCAAGGTTGCTAGCTACGATGCTCGTTTGGTCAAACAGCAGGCGAGATGTTGCCGTGAAGGTATTTTTTAGTTGTGGTTGACATTTCAGTCTGTTGACTTTGAGTAAAGCAGATTACCCTCCATAGTGTGGGTAGGACTTATCCAATCTGGTGAAGACCTACAGAGACAAGACTGAGGTCCCCTAGATACGAAGCAATTCTGCCTCCAGACTGCCTTTGGGATGGAGACCACAACATCAATTCCTGATGAAGTGTCCATCCTCCCGGCCTGCCTTGCAGATTTTGGACATGTCAGACCCCACAATTGTGAGCCAATTTCCAAAAACAAATCTTTTTCTCTTTCTTTTTTCTCTCCTTTTCTCTATATAATACATCCTGTCTGCGCTCTTTCTCTGGAAAATCCTGACCAACACAGGGACTAAAGAGCAAGGGAAAATTATTATTTTGCATAATCAGAAGGTATCCTGAAGTAACACACAGATTTAGCTTTCTTACAGTGGGTGGAAGTGTGTAGAACAGGATAAACTATATCCCAAGAGAGTGGATTCAAGGGTTTAAGAAACAGAACATGCTTGATGTGTTTTGAGTAAAAAAAGAAAAACACATGATGCCCTCCCAAAATCATCCTGACAGGCACATAAATGTGGCAGAGTAGTGCCAGAGAAAGGACACAGAATTTGGGATCAGAAAGACTAGAGGTCCTCATTTGGTTTCGATCAAGGTATTTAACTTGTGAATTTCCGAACACCTATTAAATGGAAACGATAAAATTTCCCCTTTCATGAGAAGGAAATGAGATTTACGTAAAGTGGGCCTGCCCTACAGTTAACACTCCAGAACTTGTAACTGCTGCAATTATGTCTCTCATCATCATTTCATGTGTCCTATCGATGCTGCCTTGTATGTTTTCATAGGTTTAATCGAAAACCGTTAAAATGCCAGCAGCTGATGTGGACCAATAAGCATCACCGTAATAGTACAGTTAGATATTACAACACGAGTTACAAGATATTGAGTACCTAATATATTTCAGGCAATATACCAGCGCCTTGGATACCACGATGCTGTAAGGCATGGTTTTCAAAGAAGAAAGGCTGAGTTCGAAGAGTCAAAAGACTCTCGTAAGGTCACACGGCTGATAAATGGCAAATAGAAATTCCAACCCAGTCAAGTCTGACTCCAAAGCCCGTGTTTCCTGCTCCTTTCTGTCCTACCACGGACTCCTGGTCATTAGTTGGCATGCGGGGACCACATCTGTCTTGTCCGTATTAATACGCCTGGTGCCTTGCTTAGTGCCTGGCATGCTGTAAAGACACTGCACGGCACACAGGTGAATAAAAGAAGGAAGGGAAGGAGGAAATAATTCTTCCCAAAGTTGTTTTCTCTACACCTGTGGCAATGAACCGGGGATTTGTCATACTTGCCTGGATGGTGAATGTAACAGGTTCTTGTCCCACTCTCCCATCCACAACAAAGCCTTGGTTTGTCCTATCTGTGGCCACAAAAGTAAAGCAGTCAACCTGGGAGTCCCCTCCCAAGTGCCTGTAGGCCACATTCCTGCTGTCCACGTCCTGCTGAGTAAAGTTGTGCCGAAGCAACATTGTCCCCCGCAGGTAAAGCTGGCCATGTTGTGGGAGCCGGACCAACACGAAGGTGAGGTTCTCCGCTGGGGTGTCAGGGTCGGTCAGCTGGAGGAGGTCAGGGGAAAGCAGGCCCGTGGCCCCCTCGGCCAGTCTCAGCCCCCTGTTCCTGGTCACCACAGGTAAGGCTCTGTCCACGGTCTCCAGTGTGATCTCAAACACCCCCTGTTTGGTCTGCAGCCCATTGCTGACAATGAATCTGGCAAAGAGAGGCAAGGCAGCCTTCAGCATGGGATCTTGTGTCACCATCTACCGGAATGAAATGATAACAATTCACACCTTTACTCAAGGACATGTTCTGTCGGGGCTCAAAGGAAAGCTCAAGGGCAGATCTTTCAGAAGGATGCCGTTTTAGCCATTAAACCAGTCACTAGGTAACACATAAACTACGTACATACTACACCCAAACGTATTATCTCAACAATGTCGGTGGCAGGGGCACCTGGGTGGCTCAGTTAGTTAAGCATCTGGCTCTTGATTTTGACTCAGGTCGTGATCTCACAGTTTCTCAGATGGATCCCTGGGTCAGGCTCTGTGCTGACAGTGTGGAGCCTGCTTGGGATTCTCTCTCTCCCTCTCTCTCTGCCCATTCCCCACTTACATGTGCTCTCCCTTCCCTCTCTCTCTCTAAATAAACTTAAAAAAAACATTGGTGGCAGACTCATGTGATAGAGTAGGCTAATTCTGCCAGTGGTATTCCTCAGGCTCATCAGTATTCAGTATAGTCAGTATTTAGTAGAATTCCTTTCCTACATAGGAATTTCACATACCTGTAGACCCACTGCATGAGTCTGAAGAGTAGACCCATTTTACATATTCATAATTTTGCAACTGTATTTTACTTGTAGGCATTTAATGGGCCAAGCTTTTAAGACTGATAATTGGGGGGCCAATCCAGTGGCTCATTTTGGCTATGTCATTTTACCCATGTATTTTCATGGTAAATTTCTCATGGGCAAGTCACATGACTCAGCTATGAGCGTAACCCCTCTCCCCTTCCTGGGCCTCATCTTCACTCTTCTGTAAACTAAAACATGGACCAGACGATTGCAAAGGACCATCCCGCTCTAAAATATCATGTGATGTTCTAACCCCTTACATTTTTTCTTGTGCGTCTACATTTTCCCCTTACAGTATATATGGGAGTTATGCTAGACAAAAATTACCTTCCTGATTTAAAGAAAAAAATTTATAGCAGAAAGTAAAGAATGTAGTAGGAGATCGTAAGGCAGGTAGGAAGCAGAGCTGGGATTAGAACCAGGTCGTTGGACCCCACACCTTCTGCTCTTGCAGAGTTTTTAATACGGGCCAGTTTAATAGACCACAAAACCAGACTGGTGTACCTGAGTGCCACTGCAGAATGATGAAGAGAAAGCTCAAATGATATCAATTCAAAGTAAGCAAAATCTCTCACATGACCTTGGACGTATGATACCCTAATGTGCTTTTGATTTTATTGATCACTAAACCACATTCCACCCACCACTGCCAAAGTCAAAATAAAACTAACGGAAGTGATCTTTAGAATGTGTCGATGTGTAAGTTTGATTTGGAGGGCGACTGAGAGTATCATGAAATTAAGCAGAGCGAACACGCTGTGGCAACTCCAAAATATTAGGAAACCACTACTCTCAAATGTAACTCACAAATGCACCACAGACCCAGGAAATATACTGCGAAATAATCACGGAGTTGTAGCTATCAATTTTTCTCCACGTACCGTGGTTGCTAGGAATATGCATGGAGGAGACACTCTTGCATTCCACGGATGTAAAAATCTCTAAGAAGAATGTTTTAGCAGAATATAACCTTAAATTATATAAGAATTTTCTTTGGAGGCTTCTTTTTAATGAGAGAAGATATGAGGTTTCTATTTATTTTACTAATCTGATGAATTTGACTCATAAGTTCTTTATTCTTTGTAAAAATGTGTCTTGTCCTTCAGGGCTTAAGGGTTGATGCTTTGCTTTTTTTTCCATTATTTTTATTATTTTTTTTAATATGAAATTTATTGTCAAATTGGTTTCCATACAACACCCAGCGCTCATCCCAACAGGTGCCCTCCTCAATGCCCCTCACCCACCCTCCCCTCCCTCCCACCCCCCCATCGACCCTCAGTTTATTTTCAGTTTGCTTTGCTTCTGAATAGGAAAGAACCTGAAACCAGGTTGTAGGAGCACAACAGCCTCAGCCTGCCTGAGGCAAAGGGTTCAGCAAAAGGAGCAGCTGGACGAAAAGGAAGAGAGGTTTGGCTGAGCACAGATTTTACTCTGAAGGCTAAGCTCAAATTTTGAGCTTTCTAATTATCTAGTTGATAAGCCTGCCTCCCAAGAAAATATGACATGATGCACAGGAAAAGGATCTATCCCGTTTTGCTAAGTGAAATTGCCAAGTGGAATATTACAAATAAAGCAGACTTTTGACATTTCACACACCTCGATTTGCAAAGAATATAACCTGGTTTTTTTTCTCCATAGCATTATTTTTACAGTCTGAATAAAGACCATAACTTTAGAATTGCAGATTGAGTAAAATTGCCTAGTTTTCCTTAAAATAAAACAAGCAGCTTTTCTTTTGCAAAGCTAAACGTTTGCTAAATGTGTTCTAAGCCAATAGGGCAATGTCACTGCTGGCTCATGAGTGTTTGCAAAATTCGTTATTTTTGAAAAAGCAAACAGAAACGCACCCGGAAAACTATCTGTGTGCTCTTCGGCTTGTACTTTGTAGTCACCTTGACAGTTTCAGATGTCAAGTGATAGGCGTTTTTAAGATAAAAATCACGATCTGTTTCTCAGGGAAAGCCTTTCTTGGAATTATGCTTTTATTCCACTGTTTACCTGTTACTTTTTCAGGTTTCCTCCCTGGAGCCTATCATCTGACCCCAAGTCAAGCAAGGTGGCCGTAATTCCCTCTGGGCCTCCAATTTGTCTTTTTTTCCACTCTCCCCCTCCAGAAATATGTTTCATGCCTCCCATTTCAAATAAAGTGGCTCTCTATTCCCTACCCGATCCCTATCTCAAAAATACACTCTTCTGGGAAGATTTAAGTCAGCTGTTTATGGTTTAGCACAAATTTAAGCCAAAGGACACGCGTTTTTCATATAAATAGTGGAATTAAAGAATTTGTGACCCATTAAAAGCACCCTGTCAGAGATGGGTGGAGAAGAAAGGGGAAAGGAGGGGAGAGATGGGGATCAGTAGAAAGGGAGTTCAAAGGGGACTCGAGTGCGTCACAGGGGGGCATTCTGACTTTCCTCCCTGGAGAGTGAGCTCTGAAAACACCTCAAAGCTCAGTCTCAGGACAGCCGCGGTTATCTACAAACGCATGACCTGTGTGAGGACACTGACGTTGTCTTGCGGTTCAGGCTGTCCATGTCAGACTCCTCCCTGCCTGATGATGGGGATCTGACCATGTCGGAAATCGGCAGCCTGCCATCAGACAGATGGGAATGGCGGCAAGCAAGCCAGGGACCATATAAGAGTAAGAAATATGTTGACCGAGGCCAGTGTTCCCAGCTGGGACACTGAGGCAGCTGTCTGTGCTGACCGAAAGCTAATAAGCCAGTGGTGAAAAGGATGACATTTCTGACCCTGACTGGGCCAAACACATCATGCCACTTTCACGAGTAACAACGCAAACTAGTCGCGGGCAGAGAAACGTTGTCAGAGGGAGACAGGGTGAACGGTCACGGTTGGCTTCCCAGTCACAATAAGCCTAGCAGAACAAGGGCAACAAGGTCAGTGCTGTTCATGTCTGCCAAGGTTGACCAGATGATCTTCCAAATGCTCTCCCCCACCCCCACCCCCGCCAAAGAAACCTCCCAAATACATTTTCAAGTTTGCAAACAACCGTGCCATGGCTATGATGGCATCCGTCCCAAGGTTAAGAAGCTGGTGATATCAAGGCAACAGCTCCTTCTGTGGATCCGTTTTGTTGAACTTCCTTTATTAGGCCCCCCTGAGAAGAGACGCAGCCAGGATGACCACGGTTCTCGTGAAATTTGGGGAATGGCTCTCCTTATTTGTCTGGGGGTGCCTGCCTGGTCTGATTTCACCATTACCAGGGTGCTTTCAGGCTTTCTGCATTTCCTGGCACTCGAGTTGGCTGAAGAATCTGCCATCTGTCATGGCATTTAAAAGATAAAAATGGAATCATAAATAGAGCCAGTTCCGAAGGAGAAAAAAAAAAAAAAAAAAAAAAAAAAAAAAAAAAGTCCAGCCAGCATGTCAAAATGGAGGACATTAGCATGTTCTTTTAGTACCCGACTGCCAGCAGCTGAAGTCAGCTTGCTAATCACTTGGTGTCATCTGTCCTAACATGTGCTGCCATATCTTTCTTCCAGGCCAGCAGCACCAAACAATGCAGGAGAAATTTATGATTCACAAAATACTTTTGCAGAAGGTAAAACCTGACCATTAAACTCCCCCATTTCATTAATCCTGCCGTATCTTCCATTAAAAAGAGAAGGGGGAAAGGAAAAATCCTCTGCCGCAGAATTTCCCTCTTCTACCCAGCCAAATTCCTTGCCAAGTTCAACAGCAAGCAACGTAAATTTAGGTGATCAGATTGGCTGCGTGTGTTTCATATTTTAAAAAGCGCCACGGTCACACTTCCATTAAGACGGACTTTCGGCTTTGGTTTAGCTCCACTTGACAAACACCACAGCAGCCCATGTCCGGGCTGGTGAAACGACAAGATTAAAACACGGGTCTTTGGCAGATGCTAGGCTCTTCCATCATAAATATGTAAGACTGCTGGCCAAACATCAGAACGACACATGGAGGAGATTTCTTCCCACAGGTGCATATTCTCCATGAAGTTTTGGTACAATGGAGAAATCTCTTCAAAATGAGATCTGAGGCCAGATTCAGCTCTGATACTCATTTATGTCCATGTAGATGACTCTCTATGCCTCTCTATGCCTCTATGCCTCTATGACTCTCTATGCCTCTTGGAACCTTGGTTTTCTCATGCCAAAAATGGGAACAAATCATCTCGAGATCTCGAGACGGTGGCGTAAGGCTTAAAGGATAGGAGAGACAAAAAAGAGTCTAGTACCCTGCCTGACGTATTGCGGGTATTCAAGCGATACTAGCTTTCCTACACCTCAATGTTTTCCAACCCTTCTCTCCTAGTCTTGAGTCATTCAAACAACACCTTTTTGCCATATTCTTGTAGTACCTGTACGCGTGTGACTTAACTGTTTTGCTTTATATCAGTCGCTCTTGTATTTAAATAAGTGTATTTAAAAGGACCCCTTTTAACCAGTACTGTCTGCTGAAAAGGAAAGCAGTTAATACTGAAGAACTGTTAAAAACACGGGGGAACAGTTAAAAACTGTTGAGACATGGGACTCAAACCCACGAACCACAAGATCATGAAACTGAGCTGAAATCAAGAGTTGGATGCTTAACAGACTGAGCCACTCAGGTGCCCCCCCACACCCCCAACGCTTTTAAAATTACAGATTCCTGACCCAAGACTGGATTTAGCAAAGTCACCTCTCTTGAGTGAGAGCCAAGAATGTGTTTTTATCAGTCCTCCTGGTAAATCTCTTGAAGATCTAGATATTTTAAAAATCCCTAGGATAAATGATTTCTAAAATGTCATCTAGTATGACTTTCTATGGCTGTGAATTAGGAAAATTTTAGAGTATCATCAGTCCTCCCATACAGACATTTTTTTTTTTCGTTTGCAGCGCATCACCACTATCTGATTAATACCTAAGCTTGATTTCTGGACATCTAGATGCATTCACTCATTGGCTTCTCCCGCAGGGTCACTGGTTTCTCCAAAGAGTCATTAATGTCTTCAGCAAACTGTCCCATGAGTCCTGACTGGGGAAAGGGGGAATGGAAAGGAGCAAGCCGTTCCAGAAATGGGTGTAAAACTATAGGCCCTGAATCTGCTATACATGAATTAAGCCAAGAAGCGCCCAACCTCTATACGTAACCAGGAAAAAAAAGAACAATCATTGTTCTTCTTTGTCATTTCTTTCCTCCTTCAAGAATAAGCTTGGTATTTAAAGACTGGCAGAAAAAGGGAGGCAAGGAAAGAATATAGTAAATAATGATAACAGTAGCAATAACGATAATAATAATAACCATAAGAGCAGCTAATACTTATTTAATTCTTCCTGTGTGCCACATATTTTTATAAGTACTTTGCATGCATAAACTCACTGAAACCTCCCACCACTCCCATGAAACACGTACTATGCACATCAGTCCCTTTCACAAAAAGGACACCAGAGCACTGGAGGATGTGTGAGTTGACCACAGAGTGGTCTTAAAACTATACCACTTCCGGAGCAAAAGAACCGGCATAAAAAGGAATCCACACATAGGATGCTTTGGCTAGTGCCTAGCAACACTCAAACACGGAACTGTTATTTAGAAATTGATCAACCAAACGATTATCTGCTTGTTAAGGACGTTTGTCAAAAGAAAAAAAAAAAAAGATTCTGTTAGTTCAAACTTCCCCCAATTTTTTAACAGCTGACTATCCCAGTCATCTCAAGCAAAGACATCTTTACTGACATTGAAACAATGTTTAGTATAGCAGACATATTGAATTTAGAGAGAATGTATGACAGAGGAGAGTAGTGTTTGAGCATGCGTGTATCAGGGCACTTGATAACTTACGGGAACCCAATGAATAACATGGGAGTATGTTACATTTACATGAGTGATAGTGCTCTTTTGAAGGGTGTATCCTTTTTGTTTTTTAAGATTTTATTTTTATGTAATCTCTACACTCAACGTGGGGCTCGAACTCACGACCCCAAGATCAAGAGTCGCATGCTTTTCTGACTGAAGACAGCGAGGCGCCCCATTGAAGGCTGTATTCTGACTTGGTGAAAATTGTACCGGGTGTCAGAAGCTCTTCATATATGGGCAAATGCCCTCAGGGCCTCCATTTTAATTGGTAAAACTCAGGAATGCCTATGTAGCATGATTCCCCCAAAGGCTAGTCCAAGATTTCTAGACTCTCATCCCAGGCCTGGGCATCTGGATTTCTATCAAGGACCTTGAGTTCAGCCAGCTTTGAGAACTGCTAAATTCTCTAGAGTTTGTCTTGCTTTATGTGACTGGAAACAGATTTCAATATTTTAAATGAGTGCAGACTTTCATTAATGTTGGATCTTTGTCTTTGCACCAGATTGTTTTTCACTCCAATGATGTGTTTGATACAGAATTCTTGAACGGGTACACAGCAGCACCCCCCCC